GTAGTCAGCTTACTTTGATCAAAGAAGAGGATGAAGGAGGGGAACAAGAAGAGGTACACACCATTAGGAGATCTGAAATAACTTACTGGTTGAGTTGCCTTGCATCTGGATGATGCATTTGGATTCTTTGCTGGTCTCTCTGGAATTGAAAGGCCTGACCCGGACAGCCACCTTCACAGAAGCTCCCGACATATTGATGTTCTATAGTGTAGAGTCCAGCAATCAGATGTAGTGGGGGGGGCGGGGGCTCTCCTTGCTTTTTATGATGTCTTGGAATTTTCTAAAGAGAAAGTGAGATTCCGTTACTTTAAAAATACATTCAAGACATATTAATGGACAGCAAAGCACTATAAGCTTGCCTCAGACTAAATAAAAAAAATACATTTATGTCCATTCAGAGAATCCAGAGCTAAGATATCCCCATCATGCCCCAAAGCCAATAACTCTGGCTATATCTACACTGTGGCGAAAAGTCAGAAAAAGGTACACAAATTGAGAACTGCAATTTGCGTACCTTTTTCCGTTTTTTCCAAAAGAGACGTTTTCAAAATGTGGCCCATCTACACGGCGCCAAATTTCAAGAAAAAAAAACTCCTCTTTCGGAACACCCCTTATTCCTCTCACTGAGAGGAATACAGGGGGAAAAAAAAACTCCTCTTTCAGAACACCCCTTATTCCTCTCACTGAGAGGAATACAGGGATACTGAAAGAACACGTACACTTTTTCGGAAACTGTTCCGAAAAAGCAGTCACATTCCTTGGACGTGGTAGAGCTTTTACAGGATATCTCTGGTATCCTGAAAAAGCTCTGCAGTTTAGACATAGCCTTAGTCACCCAATGCAAGCTGTTCTTGAATGAACAAATAAGTGTTTTCACCCCTTGTTTCCCTTCCTAGAAATAGTGGAAACTGGCACTACTGGCATCTCTTGCTCTGCCCATTGCACCAGAGAATGGTGTATATGCTGTTCACCCATTTCACTGGCACATACAAACTTAGGGAACACCACAAACACCTGGTCATTTCCTCTGTTCCAAGTAAATAAAAATCTTAGGTTGCTGCTTGCATATTTAGTAATCCTTCAAGCAGATGCTACTGTTTAGAGAAAGAGACTGTTGCCTTTCAAAGAAATTTCCACCTAAAATTTCTACCTCAAAGGTACACCAATATACTCATCTGCTCAAATCACAATAAAAATACTTAATGTTCAAGTCCTATCACATAGGAATGTTTGAACATTTTAGAGTGCAAAACAATGATGCACTACTACTTGTTCTAATCCAGCAGACAAGTGCATTCCAGATAACTGTACACGTCAGAACCAGTACACCCTGGAACCTTCAACATCTCTCCTTTAAGTACTACTAAGTAACAACTCAAGTCTGAATGCTTTCTTCCAAGACTTGATCTGCCTATACATTGGTAAGAATAGATATATAGGTCAGAATAAGGATGTTAAAATGCATTCATCAAATAAATGCAGCGATTATAGGCAGGAGGGCAGGCAGAAGAGATGGCTCCATAGGAGCCAGCAGAAGCTTACTTTTAAGACGGTTCCCCACACATACGGGGAGCCTGCATATAACCGTGAAGGTTAACCAATGAGTCCAGGCTCATAGGTTAACTGCATGCATGGTAACACTTTGAGATCCCTAGGTAAGAGCACTCACAAATCAATCCCACAGTTAACTAAACTCTTCATCTCCTATGCAAGGGAGCATTTTTATTCCAGGCTGGGTCTAGGAAGGAGCATATAAAAGCAGTTGGTTGAAAAAAGTTTTAGGTACGGTCCGGCTTGATCTGTGACATTTTTGTATGGCACACAGGTTGAATTAAAATTGCATTACTTCACCTCACTAATAGCAGAGGATAATATTGTGTCTTACAGAGTAAAGTCTAATCCAACTGGAAGAATTCTGAATAGCCTTTGATGATTCCCAGAATGATGCAGATTCTGTATTTCACACAGAGCAGATTACTCTTCCCACCACTATTCCAACACTACATTACTTTCCCTGTATCCAGGTAGCAACAATCACAGGATTTCATCACCATTTCTTATTCAATTATCAGACATCTGGATTTGATTTTTCCCCCCATACACCCGTTCGATTCCAATATGGATCTCTGTAAATAACAGTACAAAGGAAAGCTACAGGTGAGACAAATATCCAAATGAACCTGCATAGTACTGCTAAAGAACAGCCTGAATAGAAGCAATTCATTGAATTATTCATGACACTTCCTATATTAACCTGGTACAAACAACTTAATAAGCAATAGACACATTTGGCCTGATAGAGGAGAAAGGTGATTACATGGAATATTCATATGGTCCATTGTCAAAGAACAAAACTAGAACTGGAGTTCACAGAGCAGACAGAAGGCCTTTTTTCGGGAAATATGCTTTCTGAAATTTTACAAGGCATTTTGCAGAGCAGTTCTTTTCTCTTTATACTCTCCCACGCCACCTGATCAACAACTTAAAATATTTTTGACATTTTGTTAAGCAACTAACTACAAGTCCTAGGAAATCTGAGATAAGTAAACAGGGAACTGTCTAAGAGGATTTTGTTTAGGAAATAAATTTCCTAAACTTTTGAAGATGATTAATTAGTTTAATAAAAATGCTTGGTTTGCATTATTGCTTATTTTTTGCTTCAGACTGCATAACACTGGTTTAATTCCAAATTAGAAAAAAGTTTGATACTTGCATTGAATTGTCTTCTTAAACTGTATTTTAGTTTTTGCACAGAACTAGTATTTACTGAAGACTGCGGGATAGAGGAACTATTTAGTGTTGTTTTAGATGCAAATCCACCTAGCATTTTTAAGTCACTTACTTATCTGAAGCTGTCAAATAACTATCCCTTCTCTTATCCCTGGAACTTCAGAACTCTGCATAAAACTGCATTTTAGCAGACTGCATGTAAAATTTTTGTAGAAAGTGTTCTTCACAAATTATTGCCCACTAAGATGCAGTTGGTAAAAGCATAACTTAATTAAGCTTTTGGGGCTCTCCCCAACTGTGGTATAACTCCACTTTCTTCAATGTTAATTGAGTCACCCTCTGTAAAACAGGAACTAAGAGCAAAATGAATTGAAACTGTGTCCAGTATCAGAAAAGATGCATGTCTTACTATTAAACTACAAAAAGTATTTTAACATCTACTTAAACGCTATTTTGTAACTTTCCACAGCAAGAAAGCTCCCTGTAGCAGGCATAGAGATGTGAGTGAGGGACCATTTAGTCATCTCTCTCCAGTGATAGAAGCACACCTGTGTGACAAGAGCATTACCAGGAATCTTGATTCACACAGAAACCAATGTATTCTTTACTTAAATTGGGTTTAAATGGGAGAAGTGACGATTATAAAAACACCAGCCCTCTCTCACCAATAAAAATGGTAAATAAAATGAAAATACTGCAAAATGCACAAGATTTAACTTTCTGAAGAGGAGGATGTGCAGTTCCAGAAGTGAGGACAATGGTTCCACTCACACACTATTCACCACTTAGAATCTTCCCTGGTACAGAATATGACTACTAGAGTGGCCTGCTCTCCTCCCTTTGTGACATTTACAAGCATCACAACAGCAGCATGGAGCAATGGAAGTTCTAGAAGCCCTCACTTGTACTTCACAGCAAGTGTTTTACTTCATTTTCCACTTAATTCTTCAGAACATAAGATCATTTGGGTCATATTTCTTCCCTCCCACCCCCTCTAATATCTAATTTAGCAAAAACTCAAGAAAACAGTTTAAACATTTACATAAGTCTCAGACATCTGCTAGACCTCTGCAGTAAAGAAACAAGAATAAAAAATTTCTGATTTCTGTTAAGTACTGACATTGCTAATTGATAGATCAGAAAAAAAAATTAAGTAAGGAAGTTACCTGATGGAGTGACTAACGAGAAAAATCAATGCCCTTCCTTCAAAACCCAAGCTAAACACTATTAAGTATTAAGCTCTGCGTGCTCCAAGTTTAACATACATTAAAAAGAGAGTATTCCATGCTCTGTTATTTTCAATACAGGCAGTCCCCGGGTTACGTACAAGATAGGGACTGTAGGTTTGTTCTTAAGTTGAATCTGTATGTAAGTCGGAACTGGCGTCCAGATTCAGCCGCTGCTGAAACTGATCAGCTTCAACAGTGGCTGAATCTGGGCGCCAGTTCTGACTTACATACAAATTCAACTTAAGAACCCCAGGCATCCCCAAGTCAGCTGCTGCTGAAACTGATCAGCGGCTGATTCCAGGAAGCC